GAGAACTGACCACTACTAACAAGCCACCCAAAGGAGGCTGGAGAAGCTCCACCTAGCAGAGGCACCAAAATCTGTGTAAGGGTGGGGCCTTCCTCCCATCCTCCGGAAGCCCGTTCCAAAGAATGGGAGCAGCCACCAAGAGGAAGCAGTTCCCACTAATACAAGTGGAGAAGCTATTAATGGCCCCTCTTCTGACGTAGACCCACAGTTCCTTTCTGTCCTGCTTTAGCAGAAGAGGAGGAGGAGGAGGAGGAGATCAGATTTATACCCCACCCTTCACTCGGAGTCTCAGAGCAGCTAACAAACTCCTTTCCCTCTCCCTCACCACAACAGACACCTTGTAAGGTAGGTGGGGCTGAGAGAGCTCTGACAGAAACTGCTCCTTCAAGAACAGCTCTGACAGAACTATGGCTTGGCCAAGGTATTGCACCTGGTATTTTTGGCCACTGTGTGACAGAGTGTTGGACTGGATGGGCCATTGGCCTGATCCAACATTGGCTTCTCTTATGTTCTTATGGTCAGCCAGCAGCTGCAAGTGGAGGAGTGGGGAATCAAACCCGGTTCTCCCAGATTAGTCTGCGCACTTAACCACTACACCAAACTGGCTCTCAAAAAGTACAAGGCACAGAATGCAATCTGAGTTCCGAGATGGCAGCCCCAATCTGACTATGCTGTGGGGACCAGGGTGATATATTCTCAAGTCCTTTTTACTTGGGGGAAAAAAAAGGCAAGAGCGGCTCATGGCTTGAAGCAGATACATTAGATCCATGCTGTGCAGCCACAGGGATGCCCCACTCTGGGTCACTAACAATTTGAGGAGGTCTGCATAGATCCAGAGCTACTTAATGAGGGGAGAACAAGGAGACAGACACAAAGCATCCTCCAATAAGAGTGATGGGTACAATTGCCTCCTTTGAGAGTTACAGCTCCTTTCCCATCTGATTCCTTGAAAAGGAGAATGGGCCATGTCAGTCACTCCTCTCCTTTGTATTTATTATTAAAAGATTGCCTTGTATAGGATGCTTTTTGTCTTCCTCCGCTTAGCCTTGTGCTATACATTTTTTGTCCTCTGCAAAGCTCTTGGGTTGCTGACTCTGCACTGGCAAATGGTGAGAGATTTTTTTGGGTGGTGGCTAGGAGGAGAGGAGTTTCAGGGAAAGTGAGTGTCCTCCATGACGCTCTAGGAGTTTTCCCAGTCTCTATGGTAAAAACAGTGTCACTTCTGGGTGGAGGTTTAGAAGATGTCATTTCTCTGTAGGAATCCTTACAATCTCTATGGTCCTTACCACAGAGACTGTGGAGATTCCTAGAGTGTCACCACTGACACTATTTTCCCCACCACTATTTTTTTTCTCCTGCTTCTGAAATAACTGAGGGCTAGGGATTGGGGCCAAGCGTGGGGGTTAGCTTGCCATGGGCAAGCAAGTGGCAAGCCTGTTCTTGGGGCAGAAGAACTACATGTTCCTAACACCATGCTTGCCTCAAATTACTAATACGAGGTTGTGGGTTGAGGGCAGTTGCAGGGGGAAATCAGCATGCAAGAAAGAGCTGCTTAACCCTTTCCCCTGCATCTTCTCCCCCAGACTGTTTTTCCTCCACCCTTTTTGAGACCATCTAGGGCAGTGGTGTAAAACATGTGGCCCGAGGGCCAGATCAGGCCCCTGGAGGGCTTCTATCAGGCCCGCAGTGGAACTGGCTGTCTTCTTCTTCTTCTTCTAGTTCTGCTGCTGCTGCATCAGCGTAGGTTTGCAGCTTACAGATACACACCTGAACAGCACACTCAAGATTCTAACAGCACAGACATTTTGATGCAATAATTCAGAGCAAGAGGTGTCAGTTATTAGACACTGTTAAATAAACAAAATATTGCAAGAGTGCTAATGTTTTAAGCATGTTTTTGTTTTAAGTAAAATAAACCCCTTTGTGTTTGTGTCCTTTATAAAATGTATAGCTCTGCTACCTGGCATTACATTTTATCACACACATGGCCCAGTTCAAAAAGGCCTCATTTATGTCAGATCCGGCTTCAGCATAGAGTTATGAGTGTAGGTAGAAGTGGCGAATGGGAAGAGGATGAGTCTCCTGCTCCAGTAACTGCCCACTGCCTCTGCATTCATGTTACCTTGACAAGCACGGCTTTGAAAGCATGTTTGCTGATGTAATATCTAGTCCTGTCCTGACGACCAGGCTTCATCAGCCTTTCTGTGTTGCTTGTTACATATTGACCCCTTACTTAATCACATCATGGCACAAAATGATGACCAGAGTAAACGAGAAGAAACCCTCCGAGTGCTGCCCATCTACCTGCAACAGGATCCTGCCCTCACCTTCAGTGGGCTCCCCCTATTTTGGCAATGGCACAAAGGCTTCACAGAAGGCAAAGGGGGCATTCTGGGGGCAGAGCCCACTGTCCAGTCCCTTTATATGTTAGCCTTCATTCCTTCCAAAAATTAACTTAACCACAGATTGCTGCATTGTACGTTCTTAGACACCAGCCTAAAGGACCTCAAGAGAAAGCGAGTAGGAAAGTGAGGAGAAAAGATGGGCATTTTTTAGGATAGGAAGGAGAGATTACAAACGGCTATTTGTTTTGGCAGATCTGGCCCATGCACCGTACTGATCTGAAATGACATACAGGAAATATGTTTCTACATTACTAACCACACATGTAATAGAGAACAAAAGCACTAGAAAGAAACCTAACTAAAATGGTCTGCTTACTTAGGAACTATAATAAGAGATGAAATGGAGGCTGCCTAGGGATGCCAGCCTCCAGGTGGGACCTGGGGATCCCCTGGAATTACAGCTCATCTCCAGACTACAGAGATCAGTTCTCCTGGAGAAAATGGATGCTTTAGAAGGTGGACGGACTCTATGGCATTGAACCCCACTGAGGTCCCTGTCCTTCCCAGGCTCCAACCCCAAATCTCCAGAAGTTTCCCAACCTGGATCTGGAAACCCTATCCCCCCCCCCATCCCCCGCTGGTGGCCAGAGAAGAAGAAGAAGAAGAGATTGGATTTATACCCCGCCCTTCACTACCCAAAGGTGTCTCAGAGCGGCTTACAAACTCCTTCCCCTTCCCCTTCCCACAACAGACACCCTGTGAGGTAGGTGAGGCTGAGACAGCTCTGACAGAACTGCTATTTCAAGGACAGCTCTGCCAGAACTATGGCTTGCCCAAGGTCATACAGCAGGTGCAAGTGGAGGAGTGGGGAATCAAACCCAGTTCTCCCAGATTAGAGTCCGCACACTTAACCACTACTCCAAACTGAGGGGGACCTGGCAACCCTAAGGGTGCCAAAATGGTTTTCTAGGCCTGGGCAAAACAAAACAACAACAACCCTATACTCAGCTTTCCCCCTCTCCTCCCAACAGGTCTTATTTTGGAGGAATTTTGTGAGTCCTTCACTCAAAAACATACGCCCAGAGTTGCCAGACAAGGCCACCCACAAGTGATGACTCCCCCCCCACCTTTGAGTTCCTACATATTGGTGTCCATTAGCTGCCTGGTTAAGGTGAATGGGTCTATCGCTATATGCTTGGTCTGACATGACACAACCGGCGAGAGCCCGTCTAAGACAAAAGAATGTTCACGTTCCACACTGAGATAATTAAGCTTCAAAATACCCAACCGTGTTTGGTGGAGGTGGCCTCTCCCAACTGAGGTGAAAGGGCATATGTGTGTGAAAAAGCACAAGTCTAAGTTTTGGGGAAAGGCAAAGAGAGCAGCAGACGGAAACTGCTGTGAATTGGATAAAGCATCTCGGGGGTGTGAGATCTCTCCCACAGACCATCAGATGTGAGGTAGCAGATCAGCTACCCTGAAGGAAAGCCTCCTTACTTCCATTTGTGCTCTTTTCTGTGTACGTGTGAATACAGAAAGTAATACAAAAATTGCACAAGTGTCCCTTCTCCCCCAAAGGAGGCCAAACCCAAGTATACCCAAGTAGTGCTGCCCCTGGAACTTCCCAGGGGACTGCACAGTGCCTTACTTTCCCTTCGAGAGTCTGGATGAAGCTTCCACTCACAGGGTTGGATACAGACTAAACTGGCAGTTTCCATCAATTTCCCCCTTCCCACTGCATATCCTGCTCATGTCATTCCTCAAAGTTCCCTGTCCCTCAAGGAGCTGGATTTTGCGGGCTGCAGCAGAAGTAGTGGGGGGGGGAAAGGAGGAAACAACCATCCTGCCATAGGAAAATTTAGTCTGGCTACAACCCACTGTGCTGTAGTTTTAGTTGGCTTGCCTTTAATACACTGGAGAAACAAAATGATTAGGGATCACCAGACCTCTTCAGAACGTAGCTGCTTAGGTAATATTGCTCCGTTTTCTTTCATTCTTTGGTTCCTACCCCCCTTTTTAAAGTGTCAGATTATAGCAGACTATATTTAAACCTGATTCCATACCATTTGCTTCTGAGAATTTCCCTGGCACAAGAGTCCCTGGCTAATCCCGTCTCATAATTTGGGCAGCAGATTAGATGCGATACTCATGGCTGCCACCAAAAATGACAACCATGAGTCAAGTTCTCCTTCCTCAGCCCGCAATGTATAATTGTGAAAATAAGTGATACGACCTCACAGTATCATACATTTCCCGCCCCCACCCACTCAAGCAATAGACACAATAGGAACGGGTTTTTTTAACTGCACATTAAGAGGAGGGGAATGGGAATTCGAGGTGAAACCACTGGTTTTGGTAGCAAACCCACTTTCTTGTTACATCTAGTTTCACTAGTAGCTTGACTTCTGTTAATGAGGATGTTTTTAAAAATTGGCAGAATCAGGCTGAAAACACTGATTTCAGGATTTGTTTTGCTGAGATATATATATGTATATACACACACACATATAAAAATGCAACATATATACAGTATAAATATAATCATGTATTTAAAAATAGAATTTTTGCTCTAAAAGCGAATACTTCCTTTCTATAGACTGAGCAGATATGGACAATGTCGGTCATGTGACCAAGTTTCCAGTTTACACGGGTCCCTTACTAGCTGTCTTAGATTCCGGGAGGATGTGCAGTAGATAAGATACCCCGGAGGAAAGTTGCTTAGATAACAATCTGTCACCTTGGCTGCACCGGTGAGCATAGAGGAGTCAAGTGGGGGGTGGACCCTTGTATCTCAGCATGAGGTTGAAGGAGCGTGCAAAATTGTTGGCGAGCTTGCAGCTGTGGGTCTCCTCCATGAGAGGGAGCAGGAAGGCCAGTAGAAGCAGGAGCAAGAGGAGCAGCTGGAGGGGTAGTGCTGCCCAGCAAACACGACGTAGGAAGGAACAGACGCCTCCTCCTCGCCCCTGAAAGACACAAGCCAAAGGAGGGAAATAGTTTACAAGACACATTTGCCAAGGTTGGCTCTGATGGCAATTTGGATCCAACAGGCGAGGGATGTGTATATATGCCCACAACAGATTTTGACTGCCTTTCCTATGGCTAAGATCACTTCCCACTATATGGGGCAGGTTGCAGAGGAAAATCTTGGGGTTACTTAGAGTTTGGGTTTGCAGCCTCACAATCACCTGAGCCCACCATCATTAAAATCTACTGGTTACCAATAAGAACATAAGAGAAGCCATGCTAGATCAGGCCAATAGCCCATCCAGTACAATACTATGAGTTAGACAGTGGCTCAAACCCAGGTGCCATCAGGAGGTCCACTAGTGGGGCCAGAACTCTAGAAGCCCTCCCACTATTACCCTCAAGCACCAAAAATACAGAGCATCACTGCCCCAAACAGTGTTCCATCTATACCTTGTGGCTAATAGCTACTGATGGACCTCTGCTAAATATATTTATCCAATCCCCCCTTGTAGCAGTCTGTGTTTGTAGCTGCCACCACTTCCTGTGGCAGTGATTTCCCCATGTTAATTATTCTTTCAGTGAAGAAGCACTTCCTTTTATCTGTTCATTAAGTGCCCACAAGTTCTTGCATTGTGAGAAAGAGAGAAAAGTACTTCTTTCTCTACCTTCTCTATCCCATACATAATTTTGTAAACCTCTATCGTGTCACCCCTCAGTCAAAATTTCTCCAAGCTAAAGAGCCCTAATCTCTTTTACCTTTCTTCATAGGGAAGGCGTTCCACCCCCTTAATCATTTAGTTGCCCTTTTCTGCACCATTTCCAATACTTTTTTGAGGTACGGTGACCAGAACTGTATACAGTATTCCAAATGAGGCTGTACCATAGATTTATTTGAGAGACGTTACCACTTTTAAACGTGGTTGTGTTGGTCTTTTTGAGCAACTCTCTATTTACATAAATGCTAAACTTAAGAGCATTATTGTCACTGTTCCTAAATGGTGCTGTCACGTTTATCTCTTTCTTCAGTTCTGGAGCATTACTTAGGGCCAAGTCCAAGATCACCTCCTTTCTGGTAGGTTCTGTGACCATCTGCTCCACGGCACAGTCATTGAGGATATCTAGAAACCCAATCTCTTTCTCCTGACTTGAACACATATTGACCCAATCAATGTGTAGGCAGTTAAAATAATCTATTATGATACAGTTATTTCATCTAGCTGCTTTCCTTAATTTTCTTGCTATATTTAAATCATCCTCTAACCTTTGACCTGGTGAGCGATAACAAACTCCCAGAGTTAAGCTCTGGCCCACAGATCAAAGGCCAGTGGTAAATCTCCTCATGTTCCCCAGATTCTTACCATGAACCCAGAGTAAGCATAAGCATTACCACTCAGGGCATAGGTAGCTGTGACGGAATTGAAAATCTGGGACCAGCAGAATGTTAAGATAGATCCTGGCTGCGTCACATGACTTGGAGGGGAGGGGGCCTTTTGGCTGGAGCACTCCATGAGTGACAGAAAACTGACCTAACTGACGGTTGGGGGCGGACAGTTGGAAGAGAGAGTTGGAAGAGGGAGTTGGAAGAGAGTGGATGCATAAGACCTGGGTGGTCACAAACACACAGAAACCCTGCTTGATAGGGACTCAAATAGGGGTTGAGGAAAGACAAAAAGGGATCTGGAGTGAGGAGTCTGGAAGGCTGGTTGGAGGACCAGTTAGACTCAAGGGGGACCAGACCAATTAAAGCCAATAAGTTAACCACTGAAGGAGCGAACAACAGACAGCCTAAGACAAGGCTAAGTGATATAAATATTTTAACAAAGTATCTGAACATTCCATGTAAATATATCCCATCCCCCTATAGTGTTTCCCGTGCAACAATAAAACAACTGTGCCTTTTTGAATGTTATAAGTATTGGCAGGGTTATTTTTGGGCAGGAACGCACAGGAACGGAGTTCCGGCTGGCTCCCAAGTTGGCCACGCCCAGCAGGAACTCATTAGCATAATAGGCCACACCCAACAGCAGAAACTCATTAGGATTGGCTACATTAGGGGGTGTGTGGCCTAACATGCAAAGGAGTTCCTGCTACAAAAAAGCCCAGGGTTTTGACAACAAACAAGGTAAACAGAATAACAAGCAAAAGGTGGGTGTGGCTGGATAACCACACTTCTGGTAACATGGGGGTGCGGCCTAATGTGCTAATGAGCTGTGCTGGCAGGGGTGTGGCCCAATATGCTAATGAGTTCCTGCTGTTGGGTGTGGCCTATTATGCTAATGAGTTCCTGCTGGGCTTTTTCTACAAAAAGAGCCCAGAGTATTGGTGCCTGACTTTCTGGGGAGCCATATACTGTGCAGTAGTCCTCAAGGAAGACAGCCTGAGATGTACAAAACCCGAAGAGAATATTATACATTGGGTGTAGAGGACTGGTCAAAAGCAATAAAATCAACTCTGACTAGGTCCTGACACGCAGACCCTCACAGAACTGTCAGTATAAAGGGGGTTCTTGTCATAGTAGCCAACTTCCAAGTGGGGGCTGGAGATCTCCCAGAATTACAACTGACCTCCAGACTACATAAATCACTTATTTATTTAACACATTTATTCCACTTCTTTTGGAGAAAATGGCTGCTTTGGAAGGTGAACTGCATGGCATTATAACTCACTGAGGCTCCTCTTCTCCCTAAATCTCACTCTCTCAAGTCCCACCCTCAAATCTCCAGGTATTTCTGAACCCAGAGTTGGCAACCCTAGGGCATACAGAGTAAAACAGTGACAAAAAAGCCCAGGTCCTTGTTATCCCCTTGTTTCAAGAATTAAAGTGAGGCCGAGGGGAACCTTGTTATCTGTTTCAGACATGACACTTTCCTAGCATGCTTTACACAAATTGTCAGACTGAAAGCAGAGAAATTTATTTTTCCCATGGCAGGATGGTAGCCAGTGCCCATCATTCAAGTAAAATGAATAGCTGTGTCTGCTTCCACAGGGGCTGTCCAAATCTTGTGGAAGGTAACTGAAAGCCAAGATTTCTGGGTACTATAAAAGGCCTTCTTTGAATCAAGAGATCAGATACAGTGGATGTATGACAATTCGCCAGATATTGTTTCTCTGTGAAAACCGCTTAGTGGAATTTTTAAGAACAGAAGAACAGAAGAAAAGCCAATGTTGGATCAGGCCAATGGCCCATCCAGTCTAACACTCTGTCATATAGTGGCCAAAAATACCAGGTGCCATCAGGAGGTCCAGCAGTGAGGCCAGGACACTAGAAGCCCTCCCACTGTTGCCCCCCTACCCCAAGCACCAAGAATACAGAGCATCACTTGCCCCAGACTGAGAGTTCCTATCTATACCTTGTGGCTAATAGCCACTGATGGACCTCTGCTCCATATGTTTACCCAATTCCTTCTTGAAGCCATCCATGTTTGTAGCTGCCACCACCTCCTGTGGCAGTGAATTCCATGTGTTAATCACTCTTTGGGTGAAGAAGTACTTCCTTTCATCCATTCTAACCCAACTGCTCAGCAATTTCATTGAGTGCCCACGAGTTCTTGTATTGTGAGAAAGGGAAGAAAAGTACCTCTTTCTCTACCTGCTCTATCCTATGCAAAATCTTGTAAACCTCCATCATATCACCCCTCAGTCGTCTGTTCTCCAAGCTAAAGAGCCCCAAGTGCTTTAATCTTTGTTCATAAGGAAAGGGTTCCAACCCTTTTATCATTCTAGTTGCCCTTTTCTGCACTTTTTCAGATGCTATAATATCCTTTCTAAGGTATGGTGACCAGAATTGCACACAGTATTCCAAATGAGGTTGTACCATCGATTTATACGGGGGGCATTATGATACTGGCTGGTGTTCAATTCCCTTCCTAATAATCCCCAGCATAGCATTTGCCTTTTTTATTGCAGTCACACACTGGTTCGACATTTTCAGTGAGCTATCTACTACGACTCCAAGATCTCTCTCTTGATCAGTCTCTGCCAGTTCGGACCCCATCAATGTGTATTTATAATTAGGATTTTTGGCCCCATTGTGCATCACTTTGTACTTGACCACATTGAACCCCATTTGCCACGTTGATGCCCACTTGCCCATCCTCCACAGATCCCTTTAGAGTGCCTCACAATCCTCCCTGGTTTTCACCACCCTGAACAATTTCGTGTCATCCGCAAATTTAACCACTTCACTGCTTACTCCCAACTCCAAATCTTTAATGGACAAGTTAAAAAGCATACAGTACAGTTAACTTGTTAATGAACAAGTTAAAAAGCATCTGTACAGTTTCTCACTTTGGGTTTATGTGAGTAAGAGCAACAGTTACCTTTAGTATAACTGAGTGATTTCCAAGTACCCGTTGCAATTTTTCCAAATTGTTCTCATGCCAGACAGGCAATTTGTGGCTACTGGGGAAAAAAAATACTAGTTCTGACAACTATTCTGTACCAGAAAAGCAAGAGTTCCACACTGTTCCCTCAGGGCATTCTCTCTGCTTCCTGTTTGTATACATTTGAGGTGCTCAGGGTGTCCACCATTTTGGCTTCTTCAGTATCTGAAGCAAGCCATGGGCCTCCGTTGAGGGACCAGGAGGGCAGCAGAAAGTTCCCTCATGGCAGTCATGCTCACTTCTTTTCATTATTTCCTGAACAAGTCTCATATTTTACAAGATGCCAGAGAATAAAATGGGAAGTAGAACAGATGGTGAAATTTGAGTTCGGCATGTAGTACTCTTTACAACTCTGTCTGCTGAGCAACATTCGGTCATTCTAATAAGGCAAAGGGAAAGAAAGGACAAAGACTAAACTCCAGCCTTATAAAAATGTATAATTTCTCTCTGTGAACACCAGGGTAAGCACCGTTTCTGTTAGTTAATATGGTACATCTCACAAAATGAGGGGAGATCACGCCTATGCCTTCGAGAACTCCAAGGCACCAAGAGAGTATTCAGCCATCCTATTCCCCATCCCATTATTCAACCATCCCTTCATCCTCTCTGTTTTC